TTGTCTTAAGGCATGCCAATCCGAAATGTGAAAAGGCGAAATTGAACAAATTCTTGGAAAACTAGGCCACCTTGGATAGATGCCGTTAGATTTAGATCGATTTTGATATCACCATGAAGTGGCGGGATATCCAATTTGCTGTTCTCTCATTAGGCTTAGAAGTCTGAGTCATTTAATACCGAAGGAAAGTTAATAGTCATGTAAAAGCCCAGCGTAAACACAGGATAGAGGGCGACTTGCATAAAAGGCACAGCAGTATGAATACTAATCATAGGCCACCTTATGTTAGTCCAGCTTAATAAGACCCCCATTCACTTAAAATTTCAAAACATTTTCAGGTAAATCGTCCCCTCTCAATGAAGAAAGAGGCCATACAGAAGAGAAAACGAGGGAAAAAGAGGTGCGACAGACAAGAATCCTGCCGGCCATTTCTACAGCAAGTATGCCTTGGCAATTTGGTATAAACGTTGCGGCCACTTTGACCCTAAATAGCACATCATTCGCGACAAAACTTCACTAACAGTCGAAGATTCATCACTTCAGCGGCTCTACGCAGCCCGTTTAGCTTGATCATATACTCTGCCCGAAATTGCATTCAAAATGTTTTCACAAACTTGAATCAGCTAAAACTCTAGATAACAATTATGAATAGTTTAAAACGACGAATTCAAATGTTCTAACTTACCCCTTCGTCCATCCAGCCGACCGAAAGATACTGTGCTGAGGGTCTAGGCAAATTCAGAGAGACGACTGAGAGAGACAGTCATATGAACGACGAATACCCCTTTTTCGGATCCTTTCCTCCGCGATCACCAACCAACGGTCTCAAAACCAATGAGGGACAGTGCAGAATCGTTCACAATTACATGGACACAACTTACTTCCTGCCCAACTGAGTCTTTCAAAAAGGGCATTTTGCAGGAAATACCCGTACACTGGCTTATTAAAAACTTTTGTGCCCCTTTGTGCTCCTTTCAAACAGATGGGTGGACGATCAACCCAATCCCCATGAACCCTCCTGATGGCTATCCTAGCGATTTATCTACGGTTCTACCATGAACCACTGACACTGACTTACACACTAGTACCACATTTATTAAAATTGGGAGGGTGCGGGATGAGTACGCAACTTAAACAAGTAAGCGGAGGTCACGATGGGCAGGAGGGGTGTGCAGCGGATCAACATGACACGACAACACCAAGAAGTGACTCGAGAGATTTCAGTGATGAGGCTGTTGAGGTCCGCTTGAAGTTGCTGAACCTCCCTGAGGAGGTTGAGGCGGAGGAATGCCTCCAGGAGCGCTTGAGCCACTGTTAGCACCACCACTACTGGTACTGTGCGTCTGTTGTTGTTGCTGTTGCTGCTGGTGCCACGCCTGCCACGCTTGCCACTGCTGCCATTGTTGCCACTGAGCGTAGTCACTCTGACGGTGAAAGTGACAACTTTACTCGATCCCATCTTGATGCTATCTAGAACAGCAAACTAGTAACTCACTTGCTGACTCGGATCTCCTGGGTAGCCACCGGATGGCTGTGGTCCACCTTGTTGGACATTCGAGTGCGCGCCCGATGGCTGGCCAGTTTGGCTGGGATGGGAGACCGGAGCGACTCCAGTCGGAGTGGATCCGGGCTGAGACGATGGACCAGAGCTCTGCTGATATTGCTGAAGTTGCTGCTGCTGCGCCTGCCGTTGAATCATATCAGCGTACTCATGCATGCCTTGCCTGCGGTAATATTCAATCCACGCAGCACTGTAATCGGGTTGGCCAGTATGAGGATTGAACGTCGGCGCGGGCATACTGGAGGTCCAATCTGAAAGGCACACAAACGCATATACAATGGAAACAAGCTGGCAACTCCAAATGAGCCCCTCCAACTATCTAACGACCATCATTTCCCAAACAGGACTTCATATTCTCCTCACCGGCGAAAGTCAAGTGCATTTTATGTGGTGGAAGCAGATGGACAGTAACAAGGTTATGGACACGATCAATGTAATGTACAATGAGAAACAATAATTGTAACAGAGACACGCATAATCAATTGACGAGAAGTCAATAATTGTAAATCAAACCTGCGAGAGGTTTGTGAAGGTAGAATTCCGTACGATATTTTCTGCTCGTTCAGCTGCCCCTTTGACCTATCGATGACAGCCGGCTCAACCACTCATTTTGGTGGTGGCGAACCTACGAAAAGATGAGCCTCTTACCTGACTGGCCATAACCGAGCTGTCCCCAGAGGTTGGAGGTCGATCCAGAAGTCGGCCTTGAGATAGGGATACCGGCGCGCTCAGAGATCATTCTTTAGTGTTGATGATGATGATGAAGGCCAGACATATTCAGTTATTCGAAGGCATGGTAATTGTTTATAGGGTAGCAGGATATTCACCAAATATATGAAGAACAATGAAAACGAAAATGGCGCCGGTTAAGGAACAAGTATAATAAAAATCTGCTACCTAATCTCATCCGGGCCAAAAAAAAACACTCCAATCTTATGACTTACCTATTGTTTAATTCTTCAGCAAAAACTACACATACAAGTCCTTTAAGTAGATTTGGTCATAGAACAGAAATAATAACTGCAATTGAAAGGACCAGTAGGGAGAGAGAATTAATCTGCGCGTAACCTAGGTCGGAAACTGGGCTAAAAGAAAACTTATGCATGCTACCAAGCTAAAACATTTATGAAACTGATTAATTGGCACACAACAAAGTCGAAGTAACCTCCAAAAATGTTAACAGCCCGGAATACAACAAAATTAGTAAATAAGCACCTTATCGCCTGTTCGATTTCGTTAGGATTGCCACGGATGTTGAAAATCTTGATTGATGGGTCCGGAGGAGGTTCCTTCGAAATCTCAACATGAGCTCCACTGACTCGACAGATTTCCTTTATGGAATCACCACCTTTCCCGATGACCAGACCAGCTTTTTCGGCGGGAACGGCATATCGCGTAATCTCCGCGTTTTCAGACAAATTACCTACTCGTCCACGCTACATAAAAATTAAATGCGAAGAGCCAAATTACCGTAATTATCTCGATTACAAGTGCTTTGACCCTCTCGATACGAGCTGGATCGCCAGTTATGCGCAATGGCTTGTCTTCCACGGTCGGCGCGCTACTCTGTTGAATAAGGACCATTTTGACGCCATTTTCCTCCTGAAGTTGCTTGATTGTTTCACCATTTTTGCCGATGACAAGCCCCGCTTTTGAACCAGGGATCATCATCTCAACCGTTGATAGCGGCCCGCTGGGAGCATAGACAGTTGGATTAGCCATGTGCTGGTAATTCAAGGGAGAAGGCTGGCCACCCATTCCCGACTTCTCAGCCCGGTCAATTATGTCATTAAGCAGCTGTTTCGCATGTCTATAAAGGAGCTTCGATAATTTAGACGAAGCCTACACCACTTGTTGCGGGGTTCCGGTCAGAGTAACAACGCGTTCCGGACGACCACCCTCTAAACGAAGCATTATGAAAAACAGTAAAACTGACCCTGAGATATCTGAACCTTGCAATTAGACTCATTTTGCAATGCTGTAATCTGTTCGCCCTTTTTGCCAATAACTAAAGGAGTAAGACGAGTAAAAGCTATTACCTAGACCCACAAAACGATCTGGAATTGTTGTCTCAGTCGTTATCTGCCGCGCAGGCGAGTTTTGCTGGGGTGGAGCTGGTCCACCTCCTGCAAGCTTTTGGCTCAACCTTGCAGCGGCTTCGTGGGCAGCTGCAGCAGCCTTGTCAGTGTAGGGACGTTTCTCAGCCGACGGATATTGATTCATCGAATCAGCAGGTCGCTTTCCACCGGCATAAGACCCATTCGATTGTCCATCATCAGGAGCAGAAAATTTCGAAACAACCTAAGACTCTCGATTTTACAAAAAAACGCACTAGTTTGGCACGTTCTATAGCAGTTTCATACGCGTCATTGTGCGACATCCTCACAAGCAGCGAGACGAACAAAGAGTAAGCTTAAACAAAGCAATTGAAACAGTCGTATCAAAAACAGTTAAATTATAGTTTTTTTAACTTGTTTTAATTTATAAATATTTGTGTTTATTATGCGCTATCGACAATGGTTCTTGTTTTGCTCTGCAAGAATAAGTTGAAGCGGCTCGTCAATTAGTACCAAAGGAAAAGATGAAGCGAAGTGTCAACCTTCACTTAGATTTGTTTAATTGTATGGACCTGGCATAGCACGATACCGCCAAACCTACATGCAGTGCCTCCAACCCATCTACTTCAGTAGCGGAAAGTATAAGGCACGTCTGAATGCTCGAGTTGAGAGTGAAGAGGAGGGCGTCAGGCCTTCAAGTGACCAAAGGTAACTACCTGTACGATTAGCGGTATTTTGGCCGATATGTTAGTCCTGTACGCG